GTTCACCGAACGCCAGCCCGCCGGTCGTTTGGAGGAAATAGAGAGAATAAGCTACTTTTTGTGAGAGAGGAATCGCAGTCCACAGTTAGCTGTCAATAGCTCTGGAAACTTATCTTTCACGGGAGCGCTGAGAAGAAAAAATCTGACTCGAGCGGAAATATGAGCGAATTCACCCGAAACATCTGCAGAAAAGTATTTTAGAAAGACGTGAAAATGGATGCGGCCAAGAGTAGAAGAGGAGAAATATAAGCACAAATCCGGCAAATGGGAGAAGTAGGGATAATATTCACGATACTCCTCTGAATACAATCGGCCGTTCCTTTGCTTTTTTTTAGAGTATGTAAATAGAGCAGAAGGCCGAAGCCTCCGAAGAAGACGGATCCAAGAGTAGTGGATAAGATGAGAATAAAATAAATATGCCGATTGAAGAGTTAACTAAATGGTGAAATGATGTGACTGAAAGGAGATGTTCAACAGGATTAGGCATGACGGCAACGTCTGCTCAACCATCGGTGAATTTGTATCCGATAGGTACGATTTCCCCAGAAGCCGTAAACAATCGGATCTACCAATGCGCTAGTGTAGACCCACAGACTGGCGTAGCGCATCCAGGCGCCTGTGACAGAGGAGGTCGAGAAGAGACAACCGAATGAGGATGGCAAAGAAGTGGAGAACGAGGTTGTTGTGATGGTGATTGTCGGTGTCGAAAGCCAGGCGAGCAGAAGTGCCACCGCCTTAGGAGCCCGACACACGATGAAGCCGAGCAAGAGGGTGACCAGAATGCGTAGAGTGCGTCGATGTTGCCGCCGCAACAATTGCACCAACAACGGCTCTTCAGAAGTACAACCGCCTCCGACCACACTGGTTCGTCGTAGTGCTCCCGCGGCTGTAGCCGCTGTCATGGCGACCGTGGCGGCTGCAGTAGCTGCTCTGCTGGAGCCAGAAACGGTTTGGGTGAAAAAATTGGAGAGTAGATCCCCACTACTTTTACGCCTTTGTGCCTGAGATGTGGAGAAGAGAAGACGAACACTATTGCTCCCCCCAGTGGTAGCGTTAACTGTACCAGTCGTAGAAGGCAACAGAAGACAAGAGGTGCTGTTGTCGGCTATTGTCAGGTCGGTGTTACCGGCCAGACTATGAACTTGGCTCTTATTCTTATTCTGGTTGGTGTTTTTGCCATGATTACAGTCGAGAAGATAGGCGTTTTCACCTGATTTAGCTCCTGTACCACTTTGACCCGCGATTAATTGGCTTCGAGCCACATCCAGTCGTGATGTATGCGTTGCCGCGAGACGATCACGACGTTCTGCACCTGCAGTCCGACCCAACATCGGACCGGCCTCTAAATGAGTCAAATGGTTTGCATCATCTGTCGGCACCGTCAACGCGCTAATTGCAGAAGCCAGAAAAGATGGACTCGACAGTGTCGCGTTGTCTGACTGATTAGCATCGTTGAGAGTAAATAAACTGAGTCTGCGCTGTGAGCTTCTAGCTGGTTGAGTTAGCATCAATCTGGTGGAGGCTTCTTCTTTCAGCTGACAATCGTCACCGCAGCCTCTATTCGCAATGTCATCGTCGTCGAGACCGGCGAATCTTCTGCTGCCAATCCGAAGGTCATCAAGGCTGCTACGCAAAGAACCGGCCAATCCACGCTGCCCAGCCTCTTGGCTACCGCCCGTGGGAGAGGCGTCGATGGGCGAAAGGAGACGCTTACCAACACTCAGGCCTCCAATGCATGAGCCTCCAACAGAAATACCTCCCAGATTGGTCATTGCAGTACCACTTGTCAAGCTTCCTCCTCCTCCTCCTCCTGCTCCCCCTTCCCCCCCTCCTCCTCCTTCTCCTCCCAAGCCTAGTCCAGCACCAACGTAATCGTGTCCTGATGCTGATCCGCCGGATCTGTCATCGCTGCAAATGCGTCCAGGCAGACGAAGTGTTTCAATGCCCAAGTTAGGCACGGCTACTGATGTAGGACACGTACCAACTGTTGCCAACGCGACGGCCTCGCGAAGGTCAGAATTGCTGCTTTCTGAGATCTGAAGCAGCGGCAGGAGAGGGGGCTCGACACAGGAGATAGCATGACGAGTTTTCCACTCGAACGTGGCTGAGGAAGATGCGTCAGTGGATAAGGCACCCCAGCGCTCGTCATTGTGCGAGGAAACCCGAAAGAACGGCACCGTGGAACCAGCCTGGCTGGATACTGAGGAGGATTTGCTGGTATTGCTGGACTGACGAGAGAATGGCTTATCACGCGATGATACCTGAGTTGGAATAGGAAAATGGAAAAATCTATGAATTAGGACAAATATTGAGCCAAAGGAATAAGGTAGAAAGTTAGGCAAGAATACGTCATTTTCATTAAAAGTCACTTTCAAGACTATTAGTTAATCTTGAATATACGTTCTAATCACCCAAGGTCGCATAAAGTGCTGGAAGACTGATTGATGAATTTTTCTGCAATTATATGATTAGGCCTTACATTTCCAATGAATTTCATTTAGCCCTCGAAGATATGAAGACCAAGATGGTGTGGCCTTTTGTGTGGTTGCAGTCTCCTTCCGTTGCATAGAAGTTGTTTGACCTTGTTTTCGCAACTTGGTCATAATGGTAGGAAGACTGATAGAATCGCACCTTGTCC